ATGACCCACTACCACCAATAGTAGCACTACCAATATTACCACCGGCACTTTGTGGAGTAAACCAGAAATCTTGAACACCATTACCAAAAACAGCTAAACAATTAGCATGACAATAAATTGCTTGATTACTATTAATAACATAGCTAAACAGCGCAGTATTAATATCTTTTCTATTACTAATATTAAATATAAAACTTTCAGATGTATTTTTATAAAGCACACTTCCATTCCAATCAAGTGGATTGTATCCTCCTATTAATTGTTCTGAGTTTTGTATTTTGCCAACTACAAGAGTTTTTTTAATATTATCACATTTTTGATGAAAAGTAGATGCATTTAAACCATCTCTACTACTACAAAATAAGAGTTTAAATTTGTACTTAACATCTCTAAATGAAGTATACGGTGGGGTTTTTCGATCAATCCAACTTGCAAAAAGCAATTTAAGCTTTTGATTAATTGTTGCTGAGCTAATTATTGGATTTCTTGATGGTAATAGTAAAGTTGAAGTTGGCTGTTCATCAGGAATTAAATAATAATCTAAAATAATTTTCCATGAAGTTCTAGGAAAAAGCATTTGATATGGTGAAATTTTATGACTAAAATCCTTATTAGAAATATCCCAGTACCTAATTAAAGGAATAAATTCTTTTATTGTTGTTTCAAAATCTGCAAAATTTTGCAAAGACCAATATTCAACATTATTATTAATGATTTCTGGATGTTTTGCCAATCCCCATTTAATAATATTTTCCCAAATAATTATTTCATCAACAGAAAAGTCATCTCCTTTGAGAATTTCCAATAGAATTGGTTTTTCCAATGATTCAAATTCACTTGACTGAAATAACTCTTCACTATAATTACAAAATTTTTCTAAACAAGTATTTTTAAGTTCATTAAAAGTTTCTTTGCTTGAATAAATTAATTTAAGAATTTTAATTAGATTTTCTTTTATATAATCTTCATGTTTATCAACAAAATAATCCATTGTATGTTCATAAAGTGACTCAAGACCAAGTTCACCAGCTGCAATTAATATATCCAAAATATTAACTCCAGTAAAATAGTCTAATTCAATTTTACAAGTATATAAAAATCTTTAAAATAAAATATTATTATAATTATTAATTATATATTAAATTAAAAAATTAATTAATTAATTCAATAATAATTTTGTAATCACTTACTTTAGAATAGGTTTAAAATTTGATTCACTGATATTTAATTTTTCAATAATATAATATCCATTTTTTTTTGTTGCATTGGTTAAAGCATTTCTAAAGAATGGACAATGAACTTGTAGAATGAATGAATGGGCATGGATTTCTTTAATATTTGGTTCTACACCAACATTAATTTTTACATCACTATTCTCTTCTGTATTTAAAAATCTTTCATTTTCATTGAAATACTTTTCCAATATTGTTGAATTCATTATTATTATAATTAAATAAAAAATTCCAAAATGAATAAAAAGTCCCTTAAAAATTATTTTATTTTTGGCAACCAAAAAAATTACAAATTTATTAGTGAAACCTTGGGTTTCCATATGTAATGCGAGCGCACCGTGACAGGCAGCAATTAATTATATAAAAAAATTTACCAGCATGAATTTTTACAACATAGCTATATTCTGAATTTGATAATTTTTCAGTCATTGAAGTTAAAAAAAATTTTATGCTTCTAATAGCAATTACATTATTATTATGTTTGTTATAATTGCATGCATAACACTTTAAGTTTTCTTAGAGGTATCTATCCATGTTATTTTATTACCAGACTTTTTAAAGATTTAAAGAATCAATAATTCTGAACTTACATTACATACTACATTATTTAAATCTAAAATTTTAGATATTTACCTTTTCATATCCTTTTCATATAAATGTCTACAAATTATTTAAACCAGCAACAAAGAACAAAGGGTTGCCTTAGAGAAGGTAAAAAGCTCATGTCAAAGAAATAAATCTTTTGGGTATGAATAAATCTTTTGTAAAAATTTTTTTTTCAAACTTGAGAACATATTATACAATCAAGAAAATTTTTTTAATAATTACTGATAATTAATCAATGAATTATCCAAAAACAAATATAATCCATTGTACATAATTGCATATAGATTCAAGCAAAAGTTTTTATTCAAGAAGTCAAAGAAAAATTGCACAAGTTACTAAAAGTAACTGAATATATTGAAAAGTGGCTTTTGTATAAATTAATTTAAATATTTATAAATTGGATCCTCTAAAAGGATAAAAGCTCAGTTATAAAGAAAAAGAATTTCGAAGAAATAGTCTGTATTGAAGTAAAAAATATAGGGAAACAATAAGGGTTTATAACTCGACTCTTTTTTGAAATTTCAAAAGTATGTGTGATTTATTATATTTTTCTTAAGGGAAGGAAGGGGATTCATTAACTAATTATATAATTGATTTCTATTTATATCATGTGATTAACAGGATGAAACAATCCTAAAATATTGAAGTTCACTACAAATTTAATTTATTACCTGAAACCTTATTCTTAACAGCCAATAGGTTTTTATCAAATCTTGTAGCCTCTAAATTACAACTTGTAAACATTGCTATATTTTTACTTCAACAAAATATGAAGAGAATATGGATCCATCCATTAAAAGGTACATAACTTGGTCTGAAGATGGTTATGAAAATGATGAAAGCATTTTCGTCATTTTTTCCAGACCAGAAGTTTTCAATTCTCAAGCAGAACAAGATATTTTGTGAAAAATTGATTACAAGTTGAATTATCCCAATCTAATGAATCTCCTTAGATGTATCTCAAAAGTTGACCAATATAATGTTCAGGTTTGCACTGTGCAAAATATCTAATAGAAATCATCATATATTTTTAACTTACGCTCCTTTCATTCCTGCTTCATCTGCATTATTTATTATACCTTGCTCAAATAATGCTTAATGGATCAGTGTTTATAATTAAATAAATAATTATATTATTTAATTATTAGCAACTATTATAATAATCAACGGGAAAAAATGGCTAATTGACTGCCTTTGTTAGAAAAATTGTACTATACTTTTATCTTGTAAGATAAAATTTTTTTGTGCATACAAATAAAATAAATCTTTAATTATGCGAAAAAAAAATTTTTCTCTTTATGATACGATGCGTTGATTTTGGAGTTATCGAGTAATATTTATTATCTACAGCGGATGAACAGGACACATAATAACAATAAGAAAAATTTAAAAATCCGCTATGACAAGATTTGACTGTAAATATTAATTTTATAAATAAAAAAAATGCTTTTGCTTATATTGTCCGAGCTTGAATGATGATAATAATAATAATTTATGCTAAAGGGCATGCTAAAGTATAATAATAATAATAATTTCCGCGAATATGTGTTTATGCTTTACTTTCGAAATTATTGTTCATTTCAGAATTGATGCTAAGTACAAATTCGTTAAACAATTCTCTATCTAGGTCTCTCTATGTCCGTCTGGAGCCACTAAATAAATCCATAAAAAAAGAAAAAAGAAAATAAAGAAAATATAAAATAAGAGAAAATAATCATACACGAGATTAGTACGAAGCCTAGTCCTTTATTATTCTATTGTTAAAGATAAGTTTATTGTTATTATAAAATACAAAATCAAAGACAACAACAAGAACAACGACAATGACTGACAATTTTTCTAGGATACTTATCAGGTGCATATTTTTTTAAAGATAATTAGAATAATTAGATACATGAAGTTAAGAAAATACAACGTTATTATATGTTTTAAAGGCTCAACCATCTGGTTCCCTTATACCGGGAACTCTTGGTGATCTAGTCTCTTGTTTCATTATATAGAAGTTTTTATATTGAACTTAAAATCAAAATGCATATCAATAAAAAAATAAAGATGGAAAATTTTTAAAATATTAATATATATTAATATATAAACTATGATTGTGCATTAATAAAATAATGTCATTTTTTTTGTCGACGAATCATCAATTAAGTATTTTTTTGAAATTTTTTTAGAATACCTAAATCTGTTATATATATAAAACATAGATGGCATTATAGAAGAGGTGACATGCTTATGTGTTGTTAATATATTAATACTATGAAGGTAACCGTTATTATTATCAGCATTTTTATTCTTTTTATCTGTTTATTAGTTTCTATTTTAATTTTTGATATAAATTAGAGTACAAAAAAAACAAGGCGTGAAAATGATACTATTAAATAAATCATCCATAAAGCCAAGTATAAAAGATTCTTTGCATACTCATCATTTGTTTTGTTGAGGTAGTGGAGAATCAACACCAAAACCAAACATAGGATTTTAAACTAGTAGTAAGGCACTGAGAGGAAAAGAAAGAGATAGGGATTTTAATTTGAGATAAGATGAACATATATAGTATATCTGTATATACTATAGCAGCAGCATTTCCTAATTAACAAATGAATGCAGACATATCTCACCAGGTTTTTGAAATGTTCTATGGTTGGTCACTAATTTAGGGGCCGCCTATATGATAATAATTTTCTTTAGAAATATTTTAACATTTATCTGTTTTAAAGTATGATTAATAAATCCCAGTCTCAAAATAATAGTTTATTTATCATTTTTATTAATTCATCCTAAATAGTGTCTGTTTTAGTATGATTAATAAATCTCGTCAAAAAATAATAATAAATAATAGTTCACATCCTACGGTTGGCTCGGTCCTAATGCTGCGCCACGCGCACAAAATTTCAAAAATTGTGATTTCAAAAAATTTTTCAAAAAAAGGTCTTCACGTAATTAATTAATTAACAATTATTCAACAATTATTAATAAAGGCGTGAAAAAAATTCTAATATAAATATTTCGAAAATCTTGACAACTATTTATTTATTAGTTTTTCAAAAAAGGAAATCTTCTACAGTCCGTTTTATAAACTATACTAAATGTTCAGTACCCAAATTGTCACATGCCAGTTCTGGTAGAAGTAAGTAAACAGAGTTGTTCATATAAACAATAATGCTATTTTTAATACTTTCAGTAAGATTGCATTTCTTTAGTAGAAAAAAAATTAATCAAAACCAAAAAGTCACCTAGTTTTGGTTAAAAAATTATTTTCTTCCAGCCAAATTTAGATATGATTGTCGAGATCAGTCTAAATTTAGCAATGATCCTAGCCAGTGTTGAAATTTCAGCGGGAGGGTGTAACGTTACACATATCAAAACCATAGGATTTAAACCTATTTTAGCCTATTTTGATATGTGTAACGTTACACCCTCCCGCTGAAATTTCAACACTGATCCTAGCGCTCAAAAAGAATAGAACTCTACAACAAATAATTTTTTTTGAGAAAATCTCTTATTACATTAAAATTAAAGACATATTCTATCAACTAATATAGCTATTTTTTAAAAGGTAGGACAGAAAATGACTTCTATCTTTTTAAAATTTGCACAAAATTTAGAAGGTCTTTTAGACCGAGCCAAAAAAAACTTACCAAAAAATGCAACATTTTCTTAAATAAAACCTTTTTACTTTACTAAGTAAACTTGTACTTGATATCGAAATCTCTAAATTACAAAACTGTGGCGCGCCAGGCATGAAAAAAGTCTATTAATACACTATTTGACATTTAAAATGAGGGTGGTATTATTTTAAATGATTTAAAATTTATTTAAAATGAAAAATTTTTGAAAAAAATTTTACTTAAAATTCTGTTACATGCAAACCAGTGTCTAAAATCTATGTGCGGAACACTCGCTCTGAGCATAATAATTTATTTGCGAACAGTATAATTTTAGAGATGTGTATTGTCTGACCTCAATTTTTTATAAATTTGTGGCTTAATGTGCGGGATTCAGTTAGATCAAATAAAATATTAAATTATTATTATATATATAATAAATATATATTAATGCCAGTTCACAAATCCTTATAATTTTTTTTCTCAATATTTTTTTTTGATGAACTTTTTCAAATATAAGATATCTTTTTATTCACTCCATTCACATTAAAGCTTTTGAAAATATTCAAAAATAGATAAATTTGTTATTTGTGAAAATAAAGAAAAAAGTAATAAAGGATCCAAACAGACAGTAACTACATAAAAGCAACAAAATAAGGAAATAACCAGACAAAAATGAAATAAAGTATGTGAAGATTTTGATCCAAATTGGTTACGAGTATACCCTTTGCTTGAAAAAAGTGAAGACAGTAATAGAAAGATGACAATGTTTTTCGAAAAGTATAAACAAAATTTATCAATTGTTTTATAATTTATTTATTACTTATGTAAAATTGCCCGCACATTAGTTGATAATAATATGTGGTCAGTACACATAATTTAGAGTTCAGATTTTAGACATTGATGCAAACCTCAACGAAACTGAACTGAATAAGGCGTAACGGGTATATGCAGGTTGAGTACTGTACATTTCGTGCAGTGAGTATAAAAAATTAGAGATTGGGTACAGTAAGTACGATTATAAATCCCACATACCCAACCCAAAAAAGGCATGTAAGTACGATGGTACGAAGTAACTTTTCCTAAAATGATCATCATGTGGTATCATGTGATCGGATATTTATGGTAGGTGAAAAAAAAGTTGATTTTTCCTAAATCACACAAGAATTTTTTTTCATGTGTGGCTTGGTTTAAATTTTCAAAAAGTGTTCAAAAAAAATCATCATTACCCGTTGAGAAAATAATTATATCATAATGATATTACTATATTAATTAATTAAAAAAAAATTTGTAATAACAATTATTCAAATAGAATACTTTTTGCAAATAAATAATTCCTCTTTCTTTATCATTTCTTTCCACTAAAAAAACAATAAAATTATTAAAAATGAAATCGACCTTTTTCCTAAGTCTCATTTTATTATTATTATCGCCTTCAACAATTATAATTAATGCTCAACAAAACTATACTACATGTGAAGGATATTTTTTCGTCCAGACTTGTACAACTTGTCAACAAACTCTTTATACTTACTTACCACCAAACAATGGCGAACCTCCAAACAAATGCGCAACAAAACTTATTATGAAAAAATACATTAGAAATGATGATGATGACAATGACGATGACTACGAAAGCGACGACGATAACCCAATTGATCCTTTTATATCACCAAATGAATTGATAAACTTTTGCACCGATTTAGAGACAAATGCGTGTGATCAGTACACCGCATTGCAAACTTATGGAAAAATTGATTTTGATTGTTCAAAAGAATTGGATAATATTTTTAATTATCTTAATGACAGTAATACTACACCATTAAATTTAACTGACGAAGATATTTCTACTGGAAAATTATCATTGCGTGCTATGAAAACTTATTATTTTGGCCTTCCGAAAAATTATTTTTATTGTACCAAAAATGTGGCTGGAGGTAATAATAATTACTTCATTTTTAAATAATTGATTTTATTATATATATAATTGATATATTATTTATTATTTTAGGATATTGTAAAGTAGATGAATATTATAAATACCAAAACAACACCAATACACATACATACAATCATCATCACTACGGTAATAATAACAATAATCTAACAGAATTATGTGACTATTGTACAAACACAACTATTCAAAATATCGAACAATACTACATTACCAATCCACCAACAACCAGTCATCTTAAACAAATTGTTGGTGACGATTTCGAAAATGGTCCTGAGATTCCAAGTGATCACTGCCCTCAAAACACATCTAATATTACTAGTTCTAGTAGTTCTAGTTATACTAGTGATGCTGGTATCAAACTCAAAAATTTTAAAGAGATTTATTTGAATTTTGGTATTTTGATGATTTTGGTTTTTACAGGAATTAATTTTTTGAATTAAATGATTTTCTTTTTAAAAATTTTTTTTTGCAATTACGAAATATTATTATTATGTTATTCGATTATTGTATTAAATACATAGTCAAATATACATAGTGCTTCTGTAAAAGTTTCACAACGATTTATTTTCTTTACTTCATCATCTGCTGCTTCTTTCTCTTCTTGAATATCCCCTGATGTATCGTTCGTATTATTGCTATTAAATAAAAATTCGTTATTAAAAAAATTTAAATTTTGACCGATGCTTCGTTGTTTTTGTTGTTGTTTATTAATATAATTTGGTGTTGCAAACGTTTCAACCGTTTCTTCTACTTCCGTTATATCCTGTCTACTAAAGTATTCATCATCTTTATTATTATAATAATTGCCATTATTATAATCCGATAATTGAATTGAATTAATTCCATCCCAATCGAACCCGATCGTATTAGGTTCACCATCGTTATCATCTTGTTTCTTGAGATTCTCATCTTTCTTTTGTTCGTTCGACCAGAGTAACATTTCAATATCACCTCTTTTATCATCACTGTCATTAATTTTATCACAATTATTTGATAAAAGCTTTAAAATTTCAACATCATCGTCATCATCGTCATCATCTGATATTATTCTAATAATTTGTCGCTCGTCATTATCATCCATCATCGAATCAATATTATTTTTATTAGTATTTGTTTTTGGTTTTAGTCTTGATGGCGATGATAGTGGTGATAATAGTAATGAATTGTTCGCATGATCATTATCATTAGTATTGGCGTTAGTAGTGCTATTGTTATTATTATCTCCCTCAGATATTAAAGATTTACTGGTACGTAAATTGTCGTTATAATTGTTATTGGTTGCCTTGCGATTTTTTGGTGCACGTCGACATCCAATTTTACAACATTCATGCGCGCATCTACAAATAGCAACAAATTAATTAAAGAATTATATTATGAAATAATAAAAATCATAGTTTACTTTTGTTTATCTCTACAATTATGATTGCATTTTACTCGACCATTAGGTAAAAGTTCAAAAGACTTTTTGGAAGAGTTTACTTTTAGTGGTTCTTTGGATTTATTGGACAGTGTTGAAGGTGATGTTGTTATTGTCCTTGGTCGGGTTTGTCGTGGTGATATCAATTCGACATTAACGTCATCCTTGTGTTTTTGTTAAATATAGCAATGTTGGTTTTTTCAATAAAATTATTGATTAAAAAATAAATAAAACTTACATCTACCATATTGTCATTTATAAATAATTCTTCTTGTAAACTGTAACTATTATTGTTGTTATTATTATTGCCCAATACATCAAAAGTTTGTACTGGTATAACTTCTTGCTGAACGTTGTTACTAATATCATCTACATTTTGATTTGGCGATGCAACTTCATTTGATTCGATAGGTGCGAACAAAATATTTCCTGAATCACAATCCAATATAATTGTTTGATGTATATCCAACCCAACTAATACCAAAGCCAAAAAAAATACAAACATGATGTGATGATTTAAATAAATAATTAAATAATAATAGATACAGTATATACAGTATGTATTGCTATGTTTTTACTTATATTAATTTCATACTTACGAAATTCTTCTGGCAGAACGGAACAAGTGAATTTTTGAATTGGTTCGGTTATTTTAATCCTTAATTCGAAATTTAATCCCTTTTGTAATTGCCAAAACCTAATGTACCAACAAAAATAATTATCGCAACAAAACCCATACTAAAAGAAAATCAATAATAATAATGATTTCTTTACATACGGATAATGTCTAAAATCCAATATAGAATCTTCTGTACATGCCATAAATGCCAAATTCAAATTTAATCCGTGACGTTTCGTGACTGCTTTAGTGGAATTTACTAAATTAATATTTATTACATATATTTGATATTCTGCTGGTGTAGATAATCCCTATTTGGTAGATTTTTTTTAATGATTGTTAGTGTGTATAGAGTTTACAAAAAAACTTAATAAATATTTACGCGCGTTATGTCAAATTTAATCTCGGGTAAAGATAGGATCGCTTCACGTATCTACATATAATTGCAAATCAATTAATAATAATAAAATATAAATGATAAAATTAATGTTAAACAAAATTTTTATCATCAACTGTATGGCCAAATGGTGGATGTCGATTCAATATCTTTTTTTTTTACAAAAAAATTTGAATCGATTAGATACTTTTTAGATGATAATAATAATAATGAATATTTTTTATTTTATTTTGTACCATCTCGATTTTCCATGGTTCACAATCTTTTAATTGATCGAAATTTTTTATTCCAGCTCCAAGAAGTTTCTTGGCATATTGTTCGCCTATTGTTTTTAATCATTCAAAACAAGATCACCGAATTTTAAGATTAAATATATAAAAATAATAGTTTATACCAATGCCGTCTATTTGTCTTAATAATAGTGACGAATCATCCCACATTTTCACACTGATAGATCTTGCCCTTTTTTGAAAAGATTTTATAATTATTTATTTGCCATTAGTGAGTTAATCTGAAACGAATACTTACAAATCCACGGAAATCACCAAGATTTTGACATCATTTTTATAAGCAGCCAAATCTGCAAGACCTGTTTATTATTTTTTAAAAAAAATCAATTATTTTAACAAGAAAGCATATACAATGCATGTGTATTTTTAATCAGTACATTTCGTTATTCGATGACTATGTTGTACTATAATTCTTGATTCCATATTAAATTGCATTCGTGTTGGACCATCTTCGAAAGGTATATTACCCAATATACACTATAAAAGTTAGTTAATTAATAACTCAATTTGTTTAAAGACAAAACTCGATCAATAATAAATAAAACAAACTTGTATCATTATAAAAATTTTTTCTTCGGTATTTTTAACTCTTTCTGACAAAGGAAATTTAATATCTTCATGGTTATTCAATTTATTTAACGCCTATAATGAATGATAATAATAAATACACCAAAAAAAAAATTTTTAAATAAGAATAAAGTCCGAGTCACAATTATTATAGTCAAAATTTACGAGTTTTTCATGACGATGCAATTTCACTTCATTAAATTCCTCAGTCTGACAAATTTTCTGAAGCTTTATTTTTAAAAAGAATTATTTTAATATAAAACAATAAACTTTATGCGTATAAAAATTAATTTGTAACGATAATACCAGAATTTTGATGATTTCTTGTTTTGAAGCACTTGGTCTAGTTTTATGCCATTTGAATACCGACAAAATATGTTGCATAGTTAAATATTTCAAATGATACTTTGCCATTGCTTCGCCAATTTCTAACCATTTATTATTGTTATCTTTAAGTAATTTATAGTCATTATAAAAAGACAAAAATATCTAAATTTAAAACTATTTAATTACTAGTTGGTTGAAGGATGTTGTTGTCCATCGTTATCATTTCGGAAAACATTAAATTTCTTAAATCGTTCATACAAATTCCTTTCACGTTGAAAACAAATATTGTTATTTTTTAGGAAAAACCCTCAAACAATAAATTAATTGGTTCATTATCATTACCTTCAAGTCGTTTCTCCCAATTATGTCCTGGTTTGAATAACGGATCATACAAAGTAGGGTTGCTTTTCATTCTTACATATAAAAAAGTTGATTTAAGCCTTGTTTATTTTAAAAAATTTTTTTAGTAAAAATATTATAATTTCAAAAATAAAATGAACTAAAATAGTATCTTCATACCATTTCATAGCCTTTTGTACATGATCAACGGTTCCAAGACATATTTCAGAATTTAAATGTTCATGTAATGTTTCATTTAATCTAAAAAAAAATCAGGGATATTTAGAAATCGTTTTATCAATGCAATTCATTTATCCATTCATTCATTTCATTCGCTCGATCACCTGCTCTCAAGTCTATCTTTGATTCCCGCTACTAACTCTTCATATTTTTGTTTCATATCGTTACTTGTGATAATCACCGCTATCAAAAAACCAATAACCAAATAAACAAACAGACTTTTATATTATTTATTAAAAGTATAAACCAAGTTTACCAACTCCACTGTCATCAAATTGTGGTCGACCCTAGCAAATGAAACGCGTAAATAAAGCACGGTTTTTATTTCTCCGTTAAATAAATAAATAAATAAATAAATGCTTACAGCACGACCTAGCATCTGTTTAACTTCCGAATCAGAATATTCTACAAATCTTCCATTTTTATAAGCCAAAGTTGATTTGATTATAACCAAATGTGCTGGTAAATTCACCTGATAATAAAATAAATTAAAAAGAAATAATCATAGTCACTTAAATTTTTTTTATTAAATAATTAATATTTATACCCCAACAGCTAATGTCGAAGTTGCGCCTAATAAATAAAGAAAATTAAATTAAACAAATATTTCGATTGTATATTTTATAATAATGAAAAAATAAATATTATTTACATACATATGACTTTAATAATTCCTTGTAGGAACATTTTTTCAACATTTTTTCTATCTTGAAAATGAAGTCCAGCATGATGATATAAAATTCCATATTTACAAAATTCTAATGATAAAAATAAATAAATAATTATTCGATTAATCGAGTCTGGAGAACAAATTATTATAATTACCTATAAGTCGTTTATCTTGTAATTGAAATTCATTAAATCTATTTTTATTTATTATTTAGAGATGAAATCAATCATAAAAAACCCCGTAAAAATATATTATATCATTACAAACATTTCATGTGTATTAGTAGTATCCCATGGTAATGGCATACGACGTCGTTGAAATTCTTTCAATTGATTAATAATAACTTGACATGATTCTTCTGTAGATTTTCTCGTTGTGCAAAACTTGAAAATTTTTGAAAAAAGCCGTCATCATCAAAAATTAATCTTTAAAAATTAAATCTATAAAGAAAAAAAATATATATTACCACCATTACAGGCTTTCCATCGGAATAATTTTTGATTATATCAAGGAGTCTATATAGTTTAAAATAATAAGAACAATAACTATTATGATGATTATTAAACATTTTAAAATTCGCGTAATCGACTTGCTTGTCATTTATTGATTTATCGAATTTAAAGGCATTCCCATCTGATTTATAAGATAAAACATGTCGTGACAACTTTACTGGACGATATTCTTCACCAAATTCTAATATTTTTGCTTTTTGTTGATGCTGGTTATTCGAACTTGAATCTGACTCAACTTTCCCCCAAAAAAATAAACATTATTATTATTTTGAAAAATAAATAATAAGAAAATATTTGATTACTTTGGCTATTAAGACTAATCCAGACTGCAACATCATTAATGTTTGGTATTGTTGCAGAGACTGCAATTATACGACATTTTGCTCCCATTATTTTCATTCTGCTGACCTGATTATTCAAAAAATATTTTAATAATTCAATTAATAATTAATAATAAAATATATTTTTATTAATTACCACAACTTCAAGAATTGAACCTCGATCTTCGTGTAGCATATGAACTTCGTCAATCTAATAATATAAAAAACAAATAAATAATAAACAATAAAGATGAAGGTTTACGTATGAAATGATGCTAATAATTTATAGTAATACCATAAATAATTTTAGCATTTCTAACATTCTACCAATATCCGTCCTGATTAATTTTGATTGTTTAATTTTTCAGTAAAAAACAATATAGCATACATAATTTTTTTAAAAGCTTTTTTTACCATTGACGAGTTACCGATTCCCATTTTTCGGGAGTTGTAACTCTGTAATTAAAAATACAAAAAATAAAATCATTAATTAGTATTATCATATTCTATCAGAAGAAAATCTAAAGATAACATGTAATGGCGTATATATACATTATATTACATCTTTTAATGTCATTAACAAATGCTTGGTGAGTATCGCCAGTTAATTCTCCACCTTCCGAAAATATTTGCAAATTTTAGTGATTAATTATAATCATATATTTACTAATATTTATGAAAAGAAAAAAAGAATAGGAGTAGGGTATTCATACAAGTAATATTAATATGTCGAAATTTTTTAATCCAATCTTTGGCACGTTCCGAACAGATCGCCTATTTATATTTATGCAAAAACAATTACAACGATAATTCCAATATTCGTTATTCATTAAAATTTTTTTTACCTTTGTAGGAGCCATATAAACCATTTTCGCACGATTACTTTGATCATTCATAATCACATTTATCATTGCTAATTCGAAAATAACAGTTTTTCCTGAACCGGTTGGTGCTTTTTAAAAAATTGACAATAAAAATAATAAGATTTATTCGATTTTTTTTGAAATAAGGAAAAAGAAATTAATTTTTTTTACCAATCATTACAAGGTCTTCGCTTGAATATAGTGCCTATTTATAAATAAACATAAAAATTTAGCTACGTTATATTTATCCTTGTAATAATTATTTGATTAATTACCACGCCGATACATTGAGATTGTATTTTATTAAAAGTCCCGAAAGTAAACAAAGATCTAAAACGATCAGCTAAAAAAAAGGTTTATCCCAAAAGTTTTGATTAAATAAATAATAATAGTAAAATTATCTCAAACAACAACAAACTTTTTGAAGATACGTACGTAATTCGGTAACTTTATATAGTTGTTCATCAAAGTTTTGGACATTTTTGCTACCATTTCCATTAACACTATTATTATTATTATTATTATTATTATTATTATTATCACTGATAATCATTGGGTCTTGATACTGATAATTTTGCATGTAATTGTTATTACTATAGTTGTTGTTATTGTTGTTATAAGGATAGTTTGGCAAATTATCGTAATTATTAACATCGCCGTGATCATTGTTAAGATTATTATAATCACAATCACTATAATCATTATTATAATCAGTATGATCGTAATGGTTGTCGTTGTTGTTATTATAATAACATCCATTATTTTTCGTTGATGACGATGATTGCGCATTATTATTATAGTTTGAATTATTATTAATATTAGTATTTTGATTTGATCGCAACTGCGTCTGGTCATCACTATAATTGCTATTGCCGTTACCACTATTATTATTTAGCAGTGATAACGCATTACTAAACGGCTAAAGAAAAATAAAAAATGGTAAATAAATGTATTAAAAAAAAATAACACGTTATTATAATAATGAAATGATAAATATACAGGATATTGAGATAATGAATTATTATTGTTGCAAGCATCATTAGCCACGATAGAAGAAGTTGAAGCAGATGTAACTGTAGAAATAAAAGAGATAGAAAGTAACGATAAATCAGGATCGATTTGATTTGAATAATTTTTTGAATAAAGAGGACGATGACGATGATGTAATAATAATATTTTTATCATTACTATTGTTACAATCTCTTTTGAAATTGTTGTATTTATTATTGGAATAAGAATTATTAGTATTATTTATAAAAGTTCTAGTTGTCCTGTTTCTTTGATTATTATTGTTTCGTTGATAATTATTTCGATTTTTTTGTGGAAAAAATCTTCGTTTCATTTTATTTGCTTTATTAAAGTTTAAAATTAAAAATTAAAAATAAAATAAATTATAATCTATATTATATATGTGTGAAAAAGTCTAAGTTAAAGTTTAATTATAACAAGAAATAAATAATAGTATATAGTAATTAATTTTTAATTCAATTATCAAAAGCATACTAATTTTTTTTAATAGTTAATCTCAAATTGTAATTAATAAAATTTTTTTCTCACAGCGAGTATTAAAAATAAAGCAAATTAATATTTATATTAATAATAATATTATAAATAAAACAACCTATCTAATTAAAGAAGGAGGACTAAAAAGTAACAAAAAAAAAGTCAATATAATATTTTAGCATTTAAATCATTAATTAATTAATAAATTAATAAAAAAATTATCGAGGATAAGGATGATAATCATGTTGTCCGCGAACCGAATGACTAGCGTATATAGCACCAGTCGACCCGGTATTTAATGAACTTGAATAAGATCTTAGCGGTGCTCCTCGTGTAGCATTGCCACCACGTCCACCATACATTGGTGGGGGAGGAGGAGGATGAGGAGGATTACCCGGATGATGGTGATGATGATAATGGTAATGATGATCTCTCCCATTATATTCTTCACGTACAGGCGAATGACGATATCCACCACCGCCACCTAATCGACTACTTGATGCAGGACCACCATTCATACCAGAACCAGGTGCTCCACCATCTCTTCCATACCATTGACCATAAGATCCACCACCTCCACGACTTCCTGATCCACCATATCCACCACCACCACCATAATTATTATTATAACCACCATATCTGTTAAAAAAGAAAATAATTATAATTGGTATATAAGAAAAAATTTTTTTTTCAATATAAAGATTATAATAAATATAATTTTATTGTTACCTTGAAGAATAATAAGTTTGCGGCATTGCATTATAATGATGATAATTTCCGGGGTAGGGATTTGTGTAACTAGAATAACCGCCGTAGCCACCATAACCAGAATATGAACCGCCATTATAACCACCCATATTAGAATAACCGCCACCGCCGCCATCTTTACCACCTCCCATAGGATACGAGGAACCATATCTACCATTATTAACTGCTCCATTACCAGGCGAAGCTATCACAGACATTGGACCGGACCCTGGTGGTGGTGGACCGCCTGGTGATGATGGCGGACCATAACCAGCACCAAAATGACCAAATCTTTGTGTTTTATGTTTAGGCATTGCAAGCTTTACTTCAATCTAATAATAGCATTAAGAGTTAGAAAATTTATGAATGAATGAACGAATAATTTAATTGATGTTTATTAATTTTTGGAGGATAATAATAATTAATAATTACAGCTTTATTTTGAATTTCCAAATCGCGTCTAGCCATAGCTTTTTCAACAGGATCTGAAGAGTCAAAGGTGATAAAACCAAATCCACGAGGTCGACCACTATCACGATCCACCATTAACGTAGCATCAACAATATTTCCAAATTGCAAAAAATATTGTTTAAATTCTTCTTCGGTCACTTCCGGAGCTATCCCACCAACAAATATTTTCTCGGTTTTTTCTTGTTCGTCACGAGGAATAGCACGTTTTGGATCGATCTGCGGAGGAAATTAATATCAATTATAAAAATTTCAATGAATCAACTATAAATAATCCAGCAAAAGCGAATGGATGATGAATGAATGAATTACTTACAACTTTTCCATCTAATTGATGGTCTTTATTTAATACTTTGTCGACATTAGAGGGATCTGTAAAAGTGACAAAACCAAATCCACGAGATCTGCTTGAATTTGGATCTCTCATCACAACACAATCGGTCACTTCACCAAATTGTGAAAAGTATGATTTAAGATTCTCTATTTGGGAGGGTAATAAAAATGATGTTGTAGATTTAATATTAATAGAGTGATATTATGTATGTATGGTATGCATGAATGCATGTAAAATTCTCCCTCGATTCTCAACCTATGACTTTATATAAATTAATTTCTCTAGAAACATACTAAAGTTCCAAAACTATTATTATTAATGATAATATTCTAAATATATATATATATATGCGTGTTACCTATAATTAAACTACTATATAAAAGAGAGAGAGAGACAAGACAAGAAGAAAAGGAAGGAGAATAGATATATTTTATATACTAATGCTAGAATAATCTTACCATCTGATGTTTCCCAATTAAGTCCTCCTATAAACATTTTTCTACAGTATTTCAATGTGTTACGATTAAGGAATTTATAGATAGTAGATGTGTGTGTGTGTGTGTATATATATATATATATATATATTTAATTTAAATATTTTTAAGTATTATAAGGAAAAAAAGAGAAACCTATTAGTTCTATTTTATCTATTATATATATATAAACATAAATCTAAGCATTTAATATTATAATTGATTAATTAAAAAGTAATAGTCATTTGCTAATTCTTTTTCTTCCTAAATAATATTCTCTCTCTCTCTCGCTTATACTTCTTCTAGTAGTATTAGCATTGTTCTAAAGATTTTTTCCCTACTAAATAAAACAAACAATTATAAAATAAAGCCTCTCTCTTCTCTTCTTGTTATTCCTAAAAATTTTGTTTCGCTTCTCTCTCTTTTTTCCTAAGCGTAATTTCTAATTTTACTAAAACTATGAAATCAGCTAGCTCTTTCTCACTAAACTATTAATTTTCTTTTTTGAGGAAGAAAAAGATACCATGGGAAAAAAGAACAAGTCATGTATAAACAAAGTAAATAAATAAAATAATACTGTACCCTTCATCGTGTTTATTTTCTTCTTTTTTGAATTGTTCAGTTTCTTGAACAGATCTATGTTTAGATTCAGCGGAACCATGAGAAGACGGACTGTTAGGTGTCATTTTTTTTTAATGAATGATCTTTCAACAAAAAATTGTTTATTTTTATTAATTAAATTATTATGAAATTTTTATATTAATATTAAAATTATCTGCAATAGTGATAGAGTGAAACATAACGAACGCCACACAAAAATTTCAGGGGCTAAACTGATACTGTAATGGTAATAATATATAGTAATAATGTTTAAAAAAAAATTTTTATTATTATTATTTATATTTGTATTATGTATTGTTGTTGTATTATTTATTTGTTAATTAATAATTCCATTCTAACTTCTATTATGATGAGGTTTTAAAATCAATTTTTTAGAGACATAACCGCAAATAGTTAATCTCATAGATTCTTCAGTATATTCAGTTTGTAGAATAAGGTTTGGCCAATAAGATTTTAAATTTTCTAATATTTCCTTCTCATACCAACAGAGAATATTGTAACCGGTGTGAGTGAATTGGCTTAATTCAGTCAGTGGACCAAGTAATATTGATTGAGATTGTGAAAATATTTGCGGTAAATTGCCATTACGATAGAATTCTACAATAAAATGCGAATAAATCATTCTAATTGCTTGTAATATCATATCTTTAAATATTTGACATAAATGAAAGATGTTGTTTCTAGCTATTCTCAATGATAATATTATGTCTTTATCCTAATTAATTGTTAAGAGGAAGGAATGGATCAAAGAAAAAATTGAGAAGAAGAATTAGACATTTACACGTCAAGGAAGAATTTAAATATTAAATTAAAAATTAAAGAAATAATGTTTTTAATTACCCTCACCTTTAAAGTATCAACCATTTTTGTTTATTTTAAATGAATTAAATTTTTTTTATTAAATTTTTTCAATTGATGGATTTATCATTTATATTTAAATAAAATTTTCCAACAATTATTAATTTAATTATTTAATATTAAGTAACAAATCAACATCTTCCTTAATATATTTATTTATAATGATTTTTAAGTAGAGATATCAAACAAATTTCAATGTCCTATAAATAAAATAACTCCTTGGATTACAACAGGAACAAAGAATAAATTTCTCTTTTCTCTCTTTTGCTAATAATTAACAATAAATGTAAATCTTTAAAATCAAATATTCAAAAAAAAAAAAAAATTTCTGAACAAATTGAAAGTAAAGATTCAATATTTTATATTGCACATAAAATCCTTCAATGAGATCTCATTATTATATATAAAGAAAATCATTGTACACACAAATGTGCTTGCTTATAACAACAAAAAACAAAAGTATTGGTAATATTGGTAATAATAATGACAACATTGGTTTAATATTAATATATAATAGTTATCTCATAATTATCTTTCATTTATTAAAAAATATGAATATCTAATGATGTCTCTAAATCTCTAATATCAATAAAAATAATAAATAATAATTTAGAAAAACAATTATTGGAATAACAAATTTTTTAAACGAGGAGAAAGAAAGTTTCATCCATTTTTTCGAAAAAATTTTTTTAAATATTGATTGGAACAGTCGCACAAAATTATTTCAGGGCCAAGTTGTAGATGGGATGATTTAATTATGCACAAAATTTTTTTTAAATTATCCCACCAAAAAATATTAATTGTTAGTATTATGAGCTTTTGCAATGGTTGATTTAGGCTGCATTCAATAGAATTATCACAAAAAACAATCATAAAACCATCGTCCTTGGATGGGATTTCGGATTAGTAACATAATAACATTAATTACTATAATAATAATCATTCGGCTTAGAAAAAAATGTCCGTTATAGACAGTAATAGAAAGATCCGTTATAGAGAGAGTGAGCTGTAGATAGTAATAGTCAAAATTATTTAGACATTAAGATGAGATCCAGGAGCAATTTCAAGTTATTATTATCAACATACCCGAGGTTCCAGTAAATTTTATTTCAATTAAAGAAAAAATAATAACTATTGTGGTGAAATTAATACTTCTAATATTATCAAACTAAAAATACAAGTAACTTCTTGTGATTCATTATTAAATGATATTTTACTAGTGAAGAACTTGATCCTTTCAATATATTATCAATCAACTTTAAAACGAGCAAAGCATGTATGACAGGAAAGAAGCAAAGCCCACTATATCAATACACTCACAACCTTTTGTGTAAAAACAGTTAAAGTTGCTAGGAAGTTGCAGGATTTAGAACATAAGAACTGTAATATAAGAATCCACAGCCAGTTATAGAATTTCAATTATATACACTTGAGAAATGTCTAAATATTCTTTATATATATAATTTAGTGATAAAAAAATATTATGTAAAAATAAAATTAATGTTAACAGTATAATCTAAATATTATGTAAAAATAAAATTAATGTTAACAGTATAATCTAATATAATATACAATATAATCTAATCTACATTTATCAAAGTCTACTGCTTCTATTGCTTCTATTTCTTTATGGGCTATAGCCCATTTCCGGTACTCTAACAACTTCTCCTCGAATATATTTTTCAATGGCAATGGAAATGCCAAGCAATGTAAACCATAAGTCCGTCCAGAACAATAAAAGAGAAATCGAATTTGCTTCCATTAATATTACATAATAATAAAAGTAGAAATCTATTCCACACATAACAATAAAGATAATAGCTCCAATTACATTATTTCCAAAACATTTAATACAACAACTTGCAACCGAATTAATGACTAAATATGGAATATGAGTCTTAAGTTCGAAATTAGTCCGTATAAAAGTCACCATGAAGTAAATAATCATGCCAAACGCGGACAAGATTATTAAAATCATTACGATTTTACCAACAATGGTTGTAGGAGAAAAAGAATTTGGCTCGGTAAGGTATTGAAGCAGCAACATTATTATAATCAATACTGTTATTCCACATGCCCCGATTATTATAGCTTTTGTCCTCACGCTGAAATCTTCTGTCACGTAAAAGAATATAGATGGGAAAATTAATAATATGAATGCTGCTAGGGCTAAATAAACGGACAACCTGATAATTTTGAGTTGAGGTGCTGGGTACAAGACGGGTAAAAGGATCACAGAGACGATTATGTATGGAAGATATATCCTTGTTTCAAAATCAAACATACTAGGAAGTGGTATCATTGCTGCTACGGTAGGGAATAAACAAGTCAGGAAGAAAAGAAATTTGAAGAAAGTCTTTTCTAACATTGTAATGTATTTATATATTTTCTAATTTAATTTTGAATTTTGAATAAATTTCTGAATGTTATGTACGCACGCATCTTGTATATATCTTTTAAATATACTTTTTTTTTTAATTACAAAATCTAAATTTGTAAATGGTAGAATATTTATATCAATGTGTCGCGTCACACTTTATTCAGTGTTGTGTCCTAATGATTTCCATCAAAACATTCCAACAAATTTCTAGATGTGATTTCCAAATGAAACTAACCAATGAAATTCAATTACAATATCACACAAATGAAATTCATTTTGTCAATGGAACATTCTGACCAAAAATACGAAATTGATTGTCATTATTGGTGGCGCAACTTATCCATAGCTGCGTTGTAATGAAATTTTTGGAATGAATAAGCATGGTCGAAAATCCTTTTACGGATAGACCAGAGTTACACGCATTCTGAGAAAACGAATGATTACAAATTATGATAACATGAAGAGTATCGCAAAATCGGAAAAAAGTACTATATGCTTAGAAGAGTGACACGGATTTCTAATAACAATTTTTAAAAGTGTTTTATTAAAGAGATTTGTATATATAATTTTTAAAGAGTCTGGTCAAAATTTTTATTATTATAGTTGGCTCGATCTAAAGACCTCCTAAATTTTGGACAAATTTTAAAAAGTATTAGTATAGAAGTCATTTTCTGTCCTACTTTTAAAAAAACAGTGCCATTCCTATTAATCACAGGAGAAACATAGCTCTATTAGTTGATAGAATACGTCTTTTAACCAAAATCACGTGAAGCCCTTTTTTAAAAAATTTTATTGCTGAAATTTTGAGCGAATGGTACAGCAATAGACCGAACCAACCAAGTAGTGAAATTTTGCGTGGTCTAAAAATTTAAAAGTGTAGTGTTCAAGAATTTATATTTTAAAAATCTGGCTCTGTAAATATGCCTTTAGCTTTAATGTAACTGACTAGCAGTGTGTAAATTTCAGTGTGTAACTAATGCAGATTTCTACAAATTTAGAAACTATCTGCAGAAAACTGCTAATGTACGATGATGTTACACCCGCACATTCCGCACATTGAATTTTATACACTGCTGACTAGACATGAAAATCATATCTAAATATTGGCAACATTTTACTGAAAAAACAAAATTATATGACTCCTCTAATAATTCAATCGAAACATTTGGGAGGCTCTAGAAACAACCAGCCGAGAAACATAATTTTTTTTGAACCCCAAAAATTTGTTACTATTTTTATTTCCTAACAATTCAGAAAAAAATATTGAATCACCTGAAGATTTGCTTAATAACGAGAATATAGGTGATTTGACTTCAAAATTATCAAGCCTTTGATATTCTTTGTCCAAAACCTAGCTAATTAATAATTTAATGATTATTTTTTAATGTAAGAAAATTTTTATTGCACATAACAAAAATAGAGTATGTAGATATTCGCGCAAATTATTCTAAAGAAGGTATCCGGCCTACAATTCCCTATTTTTTTTTATTAAGCAAACAAGGTCTAATATTTTCACAATGGTAATGTTATGTTAAAAACTTGGTCAGAAGACCTCGGGACCGGTTTTTGCTAGAGAACCACCATTTCTTTTTTATTAGATAAATAAATTTTTAATTACATAAAAATTACATAAAGTACAATTTTGGAAAAACATTATATTAATATATTACTGTATTAATATTCAAAACTTGACAGTATAGCCCTATAATCAACTAATTTCCCACAAAATACTAAAATGAAAAATTTTTATATCATTCTAAAAAAGTTAACCAATAAGTTTTATTGTTGTGACTCAAGCTTCGAAATTTATTGACATTTTGAAAATTCCAAATTATTGTTATTATTATACACAAAAAATTGAGACCAAGTAGATTTTGTTTTACACCTGCCTCGGTTACATTAAATTCTTACTTCCCTTTTGTGGTGTAAGATAACCACATTTCAACCCATTCAAAATAAAGGAAAGTAAGTTTTCCCATTTTTTTCATATTTTTTCAGTATGCGGAATTGTCGTTTTAACCAAATTTAGGAATTATGGGCATAATATAGCAAATAATTACCAAACTTGGTTAGCACCTACAAACCGCACGCTATTTTCGAATACTAGTATATATATACAAAATCTAGAGCTATTTTACAAATCTCCAGAAAATGTAAGGTAACACCGCATCCCGTTAAAGTTTGAAACCGTAATTCAATTTTTATATTAATTAGATTATATTGATATGCTACTAGTCGTAATTATTTGAAGAGCTATATTTAATCACACCTAAATTTCAAAATTAGATATAAAGAAATGAACTATTATTTTTAAAAATTTCGTGGTTATAAATAGACTTGGTGAAATAAATCCAGTTTGAATCCGGTTGTTATTACTATAATAATAAATACCATGAATTCGATTGCGTAATGGGATTTACGTCACACATGCAAGTTAAGTGAATGTTTTTACACTACTGAAAAACTGGTTCTAAAATAATATTTTGGGTCATGTCCAACTATAATACAATTGGTGGAGATAGTAGAGTTGCCTTTTTAGTTAGAGCAACGAAAACACAAATTTCATTACATAATAATTACAAATAATTAATAACAAATATTTGTCGATTTGTAAGTTTTTAATTAAAACCAATCTTTATTTTTATTTTTCTTTATTTACTATCATTAGCGAGCTGTGCTATTCTTCAGATTACGAAGAAAACGATTTCGATTACATAATATTGTGAAAAAAAAAAAATTAAAAATGGCTCGCTTTTTTTCTCACAGCGAAAATTATCCTTCACGTTCATTTATAAAATATCAAAAACGAAAATATTATGAATAATCCAATAAATTCATAAAATGCTATTGAAAACCTCAAATATCAATAAAATATTTTTAATTCTAACGCAAATACCATTTGCATGCAGTTTATCAGCATCAAACGACACTGATTCAAATACCGATAATAATAATAATGAGCCAGATTTAGTTTACACGCTTCTTTTAGTTTCATTGGTCATCATTATCTGTAATTTTATTGGATGTGCATACATTATTTTACGTAAGATAAATTTATGGTTTTCAAAGATTTAAAAAAACATTGATTATTAACGAGAAAAATATTTTGTTTCAGGTACATATCTAAGATGGAGGAAACCTCGTTCAGTAATTCCTATGTCACTTAGATTTCCATATTATATTGCTTTGACAGGTAAATTATAGAGTTGAACAAGTTGAAGGATTAATTTTAATTCTAATAAATCTAATAAACTCTAATTAAAATTTAATATTAGATATTCTCGTATCATTAGTTTCTTTAATAAATCACGTGAGTGTATATTTATTATTTCTTTGTATAATAAATAAATAAATAAATAAATAAATAAATAAATAAATAAATAAATAATTTATAAATTAATAATATTATAAAGGGGCATGGTGCAGCCTATAGGGAGCCTCTAGAATCTCCGGCTTGTGAAGTAATTAGTCCATTATTAGTTTTTTCGACAAGTTTAACTGTACATTTGATTGCTGCTATATCAGTCACTACCTGGTTGAGAGTGGCTAGAGAAGTATATATTGATTTTGGAAAGTATGATTATAAATTATGGGTACCAGTATTTTCGATGGCTATTGTTAATATGTCATTTTCATTTCATGGTACTTCAAAACAGAAATATTGGTAAAAAAATTTTTTTTTTTAAATCTTTATATTAAAAAAATTCTTTATTAATAAATTTTTATTTTTTTAGGTGCGCACCTGATGAAAGTAATAAACTTTTTTCAACGATGACTGTAGTGTCAATATTATTATTATTATCGATTATAATATTTTGTTATTTTTATGTTTTAATCTTAATTAAAAAAGCTGATTATAGCAGTAATATTAATAATGATAGTGGAGGTACAACAATAAGCAAGAGTTTATTAAAAGATCAACTTGAAAGAAAAGTTTACAAAAAAGTTATAACCTATATTTTAGTGTTTATTTTACAATATACACCTGCTTTGATCAATAAAATAGCAGACCTTTTGAATGTAAGGGTTTATTTTAAATTTTTTTTAAAAAATATTAATTAATTAATTTGATTTGTAAAATATATAGCATGAATATGAATTTTTATCTATAATTGCTCTATTAGGTAAAAAAGAAATTCTAATTAATTCTTATCTTCTAATTAATTGAATTATTTTTAATTAATTCGATAAATTACTTTTATCATTTTTTTTAGCGCTAAATTTAGGTGTATTTGGCAATTTCTTTCAATACATAATTAATGAAGGATTGTCATTAACCAATCATTCAAATATAAGTCATGAATCTATGTCTTCCCGAGATGATGAAATTGAATTAAACTATAAAATCAATGATGTCTAGAATATAGAATATATAAATATAAAATACAATGTATAAACGTATATACAGTATATATATGTTTTAAAGGATTTTTTAATTATGAAATTATGTTACATGCTTGTAAGTTATAGATATAAAAGATAAATATGTGTAATTTTTAATTTTTTAAAATTTGTATTTTTCCGCAAAATTCGACAGCAACCGCAGCATATTTTAAAATTTTCATTGGCGGTTTGGCAAAATTGTCACGGGTAATCGCTGCCGATCCAATTTGCGGAAAAATACACCCTCAATATTAATATCATAAAAACTTTGTTATAAAGTAGATATACTACAAACTTGTGATGTAATTCACTAACTTCAGATGAACATTCTTGTGATATTGTGTATTCAATACGTTATTTTAGTGATGTTAGCCGTTTAAAAATCCTTAGCCGGCTAAGCCGTTTACTACCTAAATTGGTATTTTTATTTCTATAACAAGAAAGTAACGCAGAAATCTATTACCAAATTTAGAAATTATGCATGCAGATTATTAGCCGGCTAACATCAATACGTTATTTTACTTTCTATAAGTATAATATTAGCCTAATCCAACATATTATTTTGTATATGTAAACTTTTGATCATGTTTTTATTCATTTAGGAGAAATAAATTTGCCTTCGCAAAGAAATCCTCCGCTTCAAATGTTACTCCTACGGTAAACCGGTTCGAGTTAACAAGTCAAATTTAAGTTGTAATTAAGGAATTGGAATTGAAACTCTACATGCAATGAATGAAATTCTGTTGTACATGAAAAAGATCAAGAGTTGTTTTTGCGACTTAGTTTTCCTCAGAGGGTTTTAAGTATGATAGTAAGCATATGAGTGCAAAAACTTTAGTCATCCAATAAAATCGAATACAGGTCGGTATGTGGCAAAATGGAGGCCAGTCCCTATATCGGAATCCAAAAATGTAACGTCTGGACGCATATTCATCAAGTATTCAAAAATCGCAACATTTAGGGGCACATCTTCGTCCAAAAAATTGCAGGCATATGGTGTTCAAAACTTTATGGCACCAAAAATTGTGGCTAATAAGGCAAACTTTGGATCTCAAAAAATTTATGACACCAATTATGAATTAAATATAATTGAGAATGAATGATATTGTTGTAAAACTACAAAGTTAAAAATGACCAAAGCGAAAAAAACTTGACTAAAATCAATATCAATATTCTTTACTCAAGTAAAAAAGTAAAAACTGACAAATCGTCTAATCGAAGTAAAATTACAATTATCTTTTTGCTTTTATTATTCCTAATTTTATTTAAATTGTTTTTAAATTTTGTCATTTTCAATTTCACTCCAGAACAAATATAATCAACTACTCCATTGTTCGCTAAATAATCAATATTACTACCTTTGCTTCCAGGACAAGCATTATCTTCATTTACTAATTCATTTTCTGTTAAATCATCAATAATATTTATTACCACGCAAAATTAGTATGTCGGTCAGTTTAAAGATTCAAAAAGAAAATTTAATCAGGGCATGAACATCATCGATTTGAGATACTTTATGAGTATCAAAAGGGCCTTTTACTAAAAACAAATTTTTTTGAAGACATGGCGGGGAAAATTTTGTAAGGACTCTTGGAACTTTACAATTAAGTGAAGAATTTTTTAAAAAACAACTATTGGTATAACATTGTTAAAAAATGCCTATATTACAAAGGTTAGTATATATATATGACATTAATAAAATATTCAAAAAGGAATTTTTCAGTTAAAATTTTTTTTGAAAATCCGTGCTCAGTATAAAGAATTAATTACTTTATATTATCAATATAAATTGTGCTTGCTAAAAGGGTTTAAGAAAGTATCTGACTTCATCTTATATTTTGATCTTGAAGTAGCAAAGAAATTAATAAGATAAAAGCTGTGAACAAGATACTGACTGGCATTTCAATTATTTTTATTTTTAGTAAAAAAACTTCAAAACTCTGTTGAATAGTAGTAGTGATTCATACCGTCAAGCAAGTTTACTTGAAATATTTTTAAATTATCTACAGATAAAACTGTTCTAATTGCATTTAAGAATTTAACAAAACATAGAAGTTTAAACATTTGTTTCTATTGGTTTGCCCTGAGTGCAAATTCTATGGAGCTTTAACCAAAAGCAAGATCACTGCACCAAATCACTTGATTACAATTAAAATATCAATAATTTATTTAATTTGTTAATAAAATAGGTTTTCAATAATTTAATGATGATAAACTGGAGGAAGAGAGATGATAAGTGATGAAATTAATATTGAAATATTGGCAAAAAAAGCATTATTTTATAATTTTAATTAATTAGCTTTTTTTAAAATATATTATTACATAGTAATAGGTAAACTCGATAAGTCGGATTTGGCCTAACTCGGATAAAAAATTTCCAGCCCTTTTTTTTTATATTTAAAAATTTATTGATAAGTCGGACACATATATAAACTCTTGTTAAGCTGTAAGTCGGACAACTCCTCCAGCCAGATAATAATAAATG